TCCTCTCAGGTATTCGATCAAAAATTAGTGTTCCATTGTTCTGAGGACGATAGAGAGCGAAAACGAATGTGATACTAAGAGCCACGATTCAAACCACTTTCGTCTTAAATGAATGACCTGCTAAGTAGATAGTGGGAATAGCAAAAAGAAGGGGGGCGAAAAATTAGTATAGAGTGAGGTGGGACTATCCTGCGGGTCAATGTTTTCGCCCCCAAGAAATGTCAAGTAAATCGTGTGTTATGATCCAGAATGATCATATTTCATTATTCTAAAAACGACCCTTCCACAACAAGCAAAGTCAGTAGAGTAGCAGTAGTAAAAAGAACGTCTCTTCTTCGCTCAGTAAAAATCCACAGTTAACGGTCTTAAACGCTACCCTTAACAACGGAATTCTCAGAATAAGCAAATCAAGTAGGCACAAACTTTTAAAGAAACAAAACAAGCTATAACACTGAGAACATTTTTACCACACACACCATACCAATGTCTGTAATTAACATCATGAAAAGAAAAATACACATTGTTGTCAGTAATGCCAACACATGTTTCAAAGTCTTATTGAAAAAAAAAAAAAAAAAAATTTTCCCAACTACTACAAATACATATAACAACGCGGTAATTAATTTAACATACCCAACAACAAACTCAACATCCAATCCCGTTTTACAAGTAGCAGAAATAAGGGAACGGGATTAAGGTGAAAAGATAGTAATAAATTGCCATTCAATTTTAGCAACAAAACAAAAGACATTGCACACGAAATCATAACAGGGAATTGTTCTTAAAATATCTTACCCGCTTACACGATTTTTTAATAAGCAACTTTACTAAAATATGACTTAACTAACTCCACGCTGATGTCAATTCGCATTAAACAATTCCCATTAAACAATTTCCATTAAGCAATGCCCATTAAACAACCATCAGAAAAGAAATTAGTAAATTTAAACAAATAGTAATCACTATAGATGTCATTTTTTACTGTATTTGAAAATTGTCCTAATTTTACAAGTTCCGTTACATTGAAATTTATCCCTGTAAACGCTTCGTTTATTTATTAAATTCTACATTTATTTATGTTCATCTACAGGCCTGAATATTCGATAAATATTAGTAACGAAAAGTATGTGCTTAATAAGAGGTTTCGAATATTCAGGCCAGGAGAAGAAAATAAATGAATACCGTAATTCCCCATGTATAATACGCATTTTTCTAAAAAGTAATAAGTAAAATCAGGGGTGCGTATTATGCACAGCTACAAAAAATCTTGAAAAAATTGCCGTAAAATAAAATAAGAATTATCATGAAACTAAATTAGAATAATATTATTCTATGTTTAAAACCATTTTTTTAAAATGAGAGTAGTAAACTCTGACCGTAATGAAATTGGAGAGGTACAGTTTTTGGGTTTGATTACCAAACATGAGGTGCGTATTATGCGTGAGTAGAAGCATTTTCTCAAACTTTCAGTAAAATTTTAGGGGTGCGTATTATGGATGAAGGCGTATTATACATGGGGAATTACGCTATACTGTTTAATAATGAAGTAAACGCCTCCTCAAATATGATCATCCACTAAAAATAACGTTTCAAGTGATAAAATCTGTAAGATTAATAAAGAAAAATCCATTCTTTAGAAATTAGATTGAAATGTTTTTCTTTTTTTATTTATGAGGAGAAAATAAAATAAAATATTTAAGCAACTCAATTATTCTTGCGCAAAAGTTATGGAAGCCGATTACCGGCTAAAATACTCAGTTGCTTCATACAAAAGAAATGACGTCTTAGTGAAATTTGTTCAAGGTTCATTCATTTTATAAATAGGGGTGTTTCAATTCAGACTGGCCTCAGATATGGAACTTTTGATCGTCGCTTTACAACAAGAAGCGCGTATTTAATTTGGATCAAATACGTTCCCCTCTTCGTTGGCGTTTTATAAATAGAAACCCCCGACGTCAGAATTCAGAAAAGTCTTGCAGCTATGTCTTTTTGTAGTTCCTACATTTTCTGACAAATCCTTTAAGCTAAGATGTAGATTAATAGAATAGTACAAGATGTGTTGGATTTCATGGATACAGGATTTTGTCAACAGATCAGGCAAGGATAAACGACAAATCAGAAGATTAACTCAATGTAAGCATTTCACGCTACAAGAAATGCAACGCTGGAAAATCTTCACATTCATTATTCATTCTCATACCATCGACACAAAAAAAATGTACGAATGGGGCGTTAAAAAGTACTCGGGCTGACCCACTTCCTGTCTTCTGATTGAAATACTGACTTTTTGGTCGAGAACTTTTCAGCACATCTGATATATTAACCCAAATTCTCATTTCATCAATTTTTTTCCTCTCCGTGATCAGGTTGCTAAGTTTTAATTGTAAAAACACTCAATTAGGATTGCTTTACAAAATCTCTCTCCGTGTGTAAATTTGTGGATTGTCATACTTCGCTTTGCTAAAAGGCCTCCTAGGGGTCGGTGTCGTTCTTTAAGCCAATAAATAAGCAATCATGTTCTCTTTTTTCTCTCTTTGGCGTTCAGATGTAGTCACACGTAGATATGAACGATGCCGATGAGGCGTGTTCGCTTTTTTGGTCTTCTGTTGACTTTTGAACTCTCCGACACACGCACATGCACAGGCGTAACTAACACACACACACACACACACACACACACACACACACACACACACACACACACTTAGTCTTAGAACTAGTTTTAACTTTTAATGTTTTCTTTCTTTCGATACAACAGTGTACAGGTGAAATTCCTTTTGTTGATAACATGTAGTGTCGTTTGTTTTATATCAATGTTTCTTGTTTTTTACCTGGACTCACAGTGAGTCTGCCAATATTGTTTGCGGGATAAATGTTCCAGGATTGGTTTGGTTTGTTTTGTTTTACGACATATCAGTCGCAATAGGTTATTTAATGCCGACAAAATTTTCATTGTTGGTAATATTTTTACCTTCAAAAATCTATTTCAGGTAATATTTTTACCTTCAAAAATCTATTTCAGGTAATAATTTTACCTTCAAAAATCTATTTCTGGTAATATTTTTACCTTCAAAAATCTATTTCTGGTAATATTTTTTCCTTCAAAAATCTATTTCTGTAATATTTTAAAAAATCTATTTCTGGTAATATTTTTCCTTCAAAAATCTATTTCTGGTAAGAATTTTCATTCGCTGGTAATAATTTTTTTTTTTTTCAAAAAATGTATTGCTGGTAAAATTTGTTTTTAAAAATGTATTGCTGGTAATAAAAAAAGCTATTTTTTACACTTTCATAGTGTTTTGATCAGAGTTTGGGGGGGTTAACTATTTGCCTATAGCTGGTACCCTAACAGGTGCTACAACTCCGGGTCAGGGTGGACTTGGGAACACCAGCGATTTAGAGATGGTTCCATACTCCTCAAAATCTCCTGATCAAAGGCCTTGCTGTCGGATGTAGTTTATCGTCTAACCCAGGAAACGGATGTATCAATCGTCAAACCCAGGACAAAATGTTCCAGGAGTCCATAAATATTTAATATCGAAAGTGTTGATTTCCACTAATGTTTACTATCCAAACATAACAGTATCCCGCAACAAATTAAATGGAAGGGATTTACCCTCCCACACACCTTAAAAAAAACAGAGAATTAATGTCAGTCTCACGAAGTCTTTATTTGAAAATGGCAAGAAATGTTGAAAAGAGAAATTATCCAGAAACTGTAAACTTGGAGTAATGAATACGACAGTTACATTTCTCCAGTGTATGTGTGTGTGTGGGGTGGGGGGAGGTTGCACGAAGTCACTTTGTATTTCTTGACCTAACGGAACTATCGTTTTCACGGTCCTGTTATGGGATCCGAAGCGAAAACTAAACAAAATCCACTTCTAGGGGACGTCGCTTAGACTGAAACCTTCTCCCATTGCTGAGAGTCAAGGCCATTCCCTGATACTTGAGATTCCCAAAAGGGGGATGGGGAAACGCCAAGGAAATTAGATTCAGCGTCCCTTTATCCGGATTTGGGGCTGAAATCAAAAAAATATATATATATATATATATATATATATATATATATATATATATATATATATATATATTCGTTTTCACTTTGTCATGTTTCTTCCCTCCCACCCCCAACATTTTTAAACATGAAGAATGCTATCCCCTGGAATTCCATTCCTACGGCAGTACCTTCCTTATGGCATTAAGTGTTAGTGGATACTGAGGGTTATTGTGACAGTGGCCGCAAGGACTGGTAAACTTTTGTCCTTGGCCAGTATGTAAGCGTATAGCCTCACCCCCACCGAGAGTTAAAATAACCATCTGTCCCAACCTACCTTTGTGGTAAGGGGTAAAGTACGTAAAAAGCAACCGGATAATTTCTATCACTTGCCGCATTGTATGTGGAAAAGAAATTTAATAGCGGATGGATTCGTTTTCTACGGCTTAACAACAGGTTATTTAAAGGCAGAAAATATACTTTTAGATTGTAAGAATATTTTTTTTGAGATAATAATGGCTTTAGTGACACAAATCGAGAAGGATTTCGCTTAAAGGCACGTTTCAAACTCAACATTTACTTGCTCGACGAGGCTGGCTCCCTGGCCGAGACTCTTAAGTCACATCGGAGATTTAACGATGGTTTTCCTCTGCCGGAGAGTGCATGTTTTTTCTTTAATAAGATCTCTTGAATATTCAGGCAGGTAGATGGAAATAGATAAATATACTGTTTAATAAATAAATGGGGCGTCTACTCAAATACGAGTATCCACTAAAAATAACGTTTAAAGTGATAAAAAGTTGTCGGATTGATAAATAAATACATCAGCTTAGAAAATTACATTTTTTATTTTTCCTTACCTTTTACTAATTAACCCATAGCTGCGGGAAAGAAGAGTTGGATTCATGCCTTTCACAAGGTGTGTAAATATAAAGAGCCCAGCCGGAATTGGAACTCAGCTCTCTAATTAACATTATCCATTACACCACCCGCGCATCCAAGTTTACAGTACCTGGCATTCTCAAGCGGTCACCCATCTAGGTACTGACCAGGCCCAATGTTGTTTAACTTCGGTGATTGTACGGGAACCGATGTTTAACTGTAATACGGCCGTAAGCCGGAAATCTAATGGAATAAATTCTGTAGCTCTGTTCATGGACGGACTTCAATGAAAGTTAACAAAACTAAAACGTTCGGCTTACCATATTCGTTCGTTAGAACTTCCTCGAGGAACGACCTGGGGAGTTTATTTGAACATATTCTTAATTTAATTCGGTCACTCGATTATAAAATCTGAAATGTTTAGGATTGTCATCTTTAAACTCCCCCGCAAAAACCCGGAACTGACAAACCTTCAGAAATAAGAAACTCCCTCCTGCAGAGAAATAATATCTTGCAACCAGTTTTGGACATCGATATGAGCAATAAAATTGTTCAACGTTTTTATAATCAAAATTTGTTCGTGACACACAGACACACGAGATCAGGCTTCCGAACAAAATTGAATAAATGTATTCAAAGCAGAAAAAGGCTGATTTCTTAGACAATTTACTAAATAAGTGCTGAACTAACGGAAACAGATCCGAATCAAATTCAAATTTCATTAAGATCATCATCATCAAATTTCATTAAGATCATCATCATCAATAATAATCTCCAGATATTTTAAATGAGTCAGTTACACGCATGCCACATAACATGTATCATGTATCTTTCTCTCGAGGCAGATTTTTTCGCGCAGTAGGTTGCCATTAGTTTCTGCGATAGACAAGTTGCCATCCAGGCTATAGAACCCAGTCTGTCCTACTATTTACCTATAGCTGGAGGGAGAAGATGATTTATACCCAAGTGTATTAGCACGTAAGTGAATGTAATGGATTCGACTGGAATTCGAACTCTCCGATTCCTCAATCCAAGCCGCTATCCATTACTCTTTTAAATATTTTAAATCACTGATCCTATAAACAACATCCCCAGCTGCGAAATAATGTTTGGCAATGTTTAACATACGTATCCGCAAAAAGAAAAAAAATGATATTCCAAAAGGACAGTCGTGTTTTCGACAAAGCTATGACTGAAAGGACATTCAGCAAATTTCAAATTTTTAATAATCCCCAAACGTATGAAACTAGATTTATACACTTTCTTATTTCTCAAGAATGACAGCAAAGATGTTAAACAGTATTTATTTATTAGATTTCTTATTTACAAGAATAATTTTATATTTACAAGTTTATCAAAATATATGAACCATTTACAATGCGATATTTGTTTGCCATATTATAAAGAAATAACTTTGAAAACAATTTTTTTTTCATAAATTTACAAAAATGTCTCTGAACAAAAAATGTAAATAAACATAACTGCAATTATAAATTTTGAAAATGTATTTTTGGACATTTCTTTCATTTGCTTTCGTCACAAATTGACTAAGGGTTTTCGAGTATCTGGATTCATACATTTTTCTCGAGAATGACAACAAAAATGTTAAACACTGTTTATTTGACCGTCTGTTTATTTACAAGAATAATATTTAATAAGTATTATTGTCAATTCCCGCGAAAAAAAGACAGTGTATAAGTTCAGATTCATATGTGTTATATACGGTGCCTATGAAGACTAATGGGTATGTCCCAATCCTCATAAATACGTAGTATTAACTCCTTCCCCCCACTTGGACGAGAGTGACACAAGGCCTTTTTTAGGTGGGGAACCAGGCGCGTACGCCCGGGACAAAGACAAAAATCGCCCACAGCCCCCGCAACCGTCAGTTGCGCTGGCCTCGGTGTGAGCACCGATCCTTCCCTCTGGTGCAATGGGAGAGAGCGGCCTCGGGCAGCACTCTGCCCAAAGAATGAGACGCAACTGACAGATGATAAGCCTGCGTTGAAAATCCCTCCAAGGAGGAATTTATACGAATTTATCCTTATAAATACGTTGGACACTATCATAAGTGGGGGTAATATGATGTCTAAGTAGTCCACCACGAGCAGTGGTTTACCTACTTCACGCCGCTGGCGAGTATTGTATTTTGTTGATGTTATAAAGATTACCATTTCATTTCCAACCTCCGTTTTGGTTATTTCTCATTCAGTAACCATTTCTAGGTTACAACAATATGTTTTGGTCTTATTAAAAGTATAAAAACAATAAAAATTACCAAGGGAGAGAATCGAGTGATAAGGGTGTGGAGGTTGTTTTAATTAATTAAATTATATGAATAAAAAAATGTTGAGTAAATTAGGTTGCGTGATGAAATTAACAATTTCCTCTCACATTAAATTTCAGTATTCAACAAACATAGAATAAGGACAACATGAGAAAGAACAGTTTTTGCACAACAATGAATAAAATATTTATATAACAAAGAGGTACAAAAACAACTGGAGTAAAAAGATAGTTTAAAAAAAGTTCAAACGTCCTTTTATGTTTAGATGAAAAGTTATCAAAGTTCTGGTTTGATAGATTATAATTTGTTGAATGGTCTGTACAATAATGAGAAAGTGTGTTTTGCTATTATAGAAAAAAAAGTTTGTATTTGAAACAGAGAAATATTCTTTACGACTTGCTTTAAGGTTTACGGAATTGTCGCTCTTTGATTTGTTTTCACTGGTTCGAAGAGAATATTCTAGTTGGGGTAAATGGTTCTTAACAAGCTGTGTTTATGTTAATTGCAATAATTAACGTTGAGCTTGAAAGCGTATGAAAAAGATTCGTGTATTAAGTTGAATGTGGAAAACTTGAGTTGATTGTTCGTCATAAAATATTGCTGTGTGAATGAGTGTTCTCTCAGGCTGGAATCATGTTAAGGAACTTTAACGTATAGCCTGGAACTGTGTGACGAGTTCAAAGGATTCCGATCGGCGCACTGTCGAAGATGAAAAACGTTTCATATTTTATTGCTAACTTTGGTCACGTGATAGGCTCACAGAAGCTTGATAGATTTGGGCGGAATTATCTTTTTGGTCAGGTCAAGAACTAGGTCGATGTTATTAAATATTACTACCAATTAGAAGTTGAGATTTTCTGGAAATATACATTAAGCTGAATAAGCTCTGTGATCCACTTTTTGTACGAAAATTGATATTGATAATAAAAGGTGGTAGCGGGGTGCTAAAAGGGTGCTCAAGTGTAAAAAAGGTGTCAAAAGGAAAAAACGTCCTTTTGATACCCCGAATCAAGGGAGGGGGGGGCTAAAAAGGAATATAAAATAATCAGGAAGAGGCAACACTGGGGTTCGAACCTAATCGTAGGAAGCAGCATTTTTGTCAAATTGATGGATGACTTTAAAATCACACTCAGGCAATCTGTGCTATGATTGAAAACACGTTCAAATTAACGAGAAAGCCGTGCAAAAGCAACTTCAACAACGATTTTCTATACTGAATTAAAAAATATTAAACAAACCATCATTAATAATGACTTTGATAATTATATCGTTGATGAAGAAATTAGACAAGCTATTGTGAATATAAAAATGAACACAATATATCATCAAATAACTCTAAGCATATCAAACTACAATACCGCAATCAAATGCATTCTAACAATAAGCAGGAGGGAAAGTTTAAAAGGACTGATAAACACGAATATATCACCCATTAAATTTAATACAACCAACCTAGTCGTCCAAAACAATTATTTTCCGTTAACTAGCATCTTACAAAAGACCAACATTGTATATCAGATTAAATGTCCTTTGGGAGATTGCATCTCTGATAAAAATGTTAATACATATGTTGGTTTTACAACGACGACGTTGACGAGAAATCTTACATTTCACTTGGATGAGCATAGTTAAATCTCAGAACATTTAAAGGAACACGAATGTCCACATTCACAGTTTAGACAGATATTAGTCGAAAATGCATTAGTACTTCATCAAAATAGTAATAAGCAAAAACTTAAAATTCTGGAAGCCCTTTATATAAGTGAATTGCAGCCCAAAATAAATAAAGTCAACTACGAGTATAGCAACAAAGTTCTTAAATGTTTGTAGCAGCAAAGTTTTATATAAAAATGCTAAATTAAAATATTGTAATTAAAAAAATCTTTTTCTTTTTTTAAAAAAATTACAAAGTTATCTCTCTTGCCTAACTGGAAAAAACTGTATTTAAAACACTGTAAACGAACAGTGAAAAAATATTTGTGAATTCACGGAGCTACTGTATATACATCCACAAATATTTTAACCTCCCTAAAGATGGTGTCAGAAAAGACTTGGGGAAAATAAAAATTATTTGAAAGAAAATTTTTGTATTTTTCTTGATCAATTTTCTACAGCCACCAAGAAATTAATACGTGAACTTGAATTTATTAAAACTAAAAGAAATAGACATAATACGTCTAAATTATTTAACCAAACCTGCTTGAATGAAAATATGCTTCGTATATATATATATATAGAGAGAGAGAGGAAGAGAGCGAGAGATTAATGGGTGAGTGGTTGTATGGCGATGAGAGGTTTACAACAAGAATATTTTTGATGAGCTGTCCTTTTAGAATGTTGGTGGATCATGGCTCCCCACCGATTCAGTTTGTTTATTATCTGCAAATTTCTATGACTTCTTGGGAAAGATAGAACAGTTTCCCATTGCCTTCTCCACGGTTCTGAATCCAGAGTAGGCCTTTTCATAGATTGACTGCCACCCAAGGCTGGAATGTCCAGTATACCCTACTATTTAACTGATACCTGGATCGCCGTGGCAGAAAAAATACATTACTGCTTTTCCAAAAAGTTAATTTAATCAAATAGACTACTTCGGAATTCGAACTCGGTTCGTCGTTAACCGCCATGCTACATAGACATCCAGCAAAAATAAAGGCTAAAAACAGACTCAAGTCCGGACAATAAATGCATTTTTTTTCGAAATATTTTTAGCGTGTCATATGAACTTTTGAATTGTTTCGAAAGAACATTGTCTAGTTGAATTCCCGACTGAGATTAAAAAAAAAAAACACACACACACACATATTTGTCACAATATACAAGTTGGAAACATTTAAAACGACTGGTGTTTTACATAACAGAAAGGAAACAGTTGTTAAAATTTGAATAATGGATTTGGAAATTAGACAAGGCAGCAAAAGCCAGATGGTCTTGTTTGCAGTAAAAA